AGCCCGACAAGAAGCTTGTATAACTTTCTTTTTTTTCCACAAGTAACAGCACAGGACAAACGATTTATTTTCATGGCGACACAGCGTTTGTAATGCAGAACCTGCATGTTAGAAATGTGGCGCTATCAGACTACTATAGGTCCTACCGGCAAATTTTTAAGTGGTAACGAAAGCAGATCTTGATTTTTCCCGATCGAGCTTCAGTATCGCACATACACTTCCACTTGTTGCCGCCATAACCGCCTGTGCGCAGGTAACGTACTCTCAGGCCGGGAAAGGCCGAATGAATTTTATATCACAACCGCGACCGGCAAAAATGAACTCAAGGACGTTATCGGATTTGGTTTTCAAATATTCGAGAACGTTTATGTATTTTCCCGGGTCTTTCACGGGGCAATTTACAGATTTCTTCAAATCCCCGTTGCATTCTGGGTCTCGGCGATTTTTTTCACATGACCGGGTAATTCCAGGGGCCCCCGGGATTCCCGGGGCCTGGCAGTCACCATGTACACGTGTTCCTGTCCGATATGGCAAAATTCAAGGAGTTTTCAAGGAGATTTTTCCTTGAATGCAAATTCAAGGAGTTTTCAAGGACATTTTCCCTTGAAAGCAAATTCAAGCAGTTTTCAAGGACTCCTTGAATTCAAGGAGGCCGCGGGAACCCTGACTTGCAACACAATTAGGACACACAAGAGCCACAATAATAACTTTGATTAAATACTCTTTTTGTAATAATCTCAACAAGCTCACTTACTGATAAATCTGACACGTTGCGCTTGATCTCCTGGTCTGTTATCTTATTGAAGAGATCAGGAATCAGAATTTTGAGAGTCTCTTTTGCTGAAGAAAAATTTAAAAAAATCATTATTGAACAACTTAATGTAAAAATATTATGCCCTGTATTAACATATATAGCATTCAGCACAACAATAAAATACTGTCAAATTTGTCCAAGACTGCCATCCATTGTCCAGGAGATAAACGGTTGTCTCGGACAGTGTCATTTTAGTATATTATATTTGTAAAAGTTCGTCACTTTGGTTGCCTTAAACTTCCGAACCATTTAACTTTCGAAATTGAAAAAAATTAAAGGTAGTTCAGAATCATTTAAAGGGGGCACAGTTATATTAAAGAGTCAGAAGTCACTGTAATTTAATTTTCAGTGTTTCATTAGTTTCGTTTAGATATTTAATCTTGGGAAAGTCTGTCATCTAAGACGCCTTTGTAAATAAGTGAGGCTTCCGTTCACAAGCAGTGCACACTGATTCCACAATGACTTGATCATCGATTCTTTGGAGTCCATTCATCCAACCGGTACCCAGCTAGTTATAATACATTATTGGAAAAATGCAAGGGGGGAAGTGTGAAGAGGTCTTTTGTGCAAATTTGTAAAAAGAGAAGACATGGTACAACACATACCTGCTTCTTGCTTAGCTACTTTCTTGGATGAAGCATAGCCTGTGCCGTACTCAATATTGTTAATTGTCACTGTCGCTCCATAGGGGGTCTTGGAATTTTCTGGGGAAAAAAAGAAAGACAGGGCAACTTAAAAGATAATAGCTCACAAGTCATAACAAAATTCAGTGGAAGTTGGCAATGCCTGTCTTATTTTGTTTGTTTTGGTAAGGTCATGTAAGCGTGCAGGATATGTTAAAACATTTTTAGTTTGGTAGGAATTAACTTTTGAATTTTGCCTGGTTGGCAGACAAAGCCTACCCTTATCAATTTTGAACCACCAAGGAATCTTCAACATGCGCAACTTGCACACAGGAGCTCCGAGAATTTTCCCCCTTATCCGAGAAGGCTAGATGTTAGACCTTACCTACCCTAAGATCAGGGGTGTGGCTGAAAGACAGCAGTAAGAAAGAGCCAAGGATTAGCAGTAAAAAGGCTGCAAAAAAAGAGTCAGGAGTCCAGAGGAGGGGGCAAAAGTGTGACGAGGGGTGGGGGCAGAAAGTGGAGAAAAAATAGATGACAGAACAGGGTTAGAGAGCAAACAACGAGGTAAAAGGAGAAAATTTTAGAGAAGAGGGTATCAAACCCGGGACCTTTTGAATGAGAAGCAAACACTGTAACCACTAGACCACGAGAGCCCAAGCCTGACTGTCTGGTTGATTTTTCTAATAAGATTCTTTTAAAGTAAACATCAAATTATTTGTAATACACAATTCAGAGAGATAACATTAATCACACTTAAAACCAAATAGCTGTATCTTATTTAAAGAAGTTGTACATTTCTTGTGCTTACAATGCACATAGAACAAACGATATAAACACTTTCAGAAAGAGTCGCCTTTTTTTTTTTTAACCTGAAAATTACGCCAACTGAAATATTTAAGGCAAGGAAACAGAACAACACGAAATTTAGGTGAGCTGTTGGATTGAAAACAATACTCCTTTAAGGCATTTCAACAATGACAGGAAAATAAAACACAAACACAGCACTCACCCAGCTCTTTGAAAATGTACGTCGGTTGAATCTTCAACGTCCTCTGCATGTACTCATGCAAGATACACAAATAGGACTTGCCCGTAGGGTTGAGCACAAACTCTGGGGGGAAAATTGTATAGCATTTAGTTCAAACTCCTGGAGACTGAGAAAAATCAAGACATTATCAAACTGAAACAGCGCTTGACGTAACTTAGTTTTTAAATGTTGAGTCAGGTCAGAAAAAAACTTCCAATCCTAAGTGGTTTAAATTTACACAATCACCATGCTCTATCAAAACGAGGTTGATCGATTGAGTAGATGTTTTACAGTACTATCAATACACAATTGGTCTTGTAATTAAAATGAAGGGTAGTGAATTTGCTTTAAACTGTGAAAGCGGAGTGTTCATATTTCACCAAGTTAACTTTGTTAAGATTTTTCAGTCTTAGCAGAGGTCTTCTCTGCAGCTCATCTATTCACCTGTCTCTACATTTACTTTAACTGAGGCAAAACATACAATGCAAGACGTTTTTTACTCATAAAAACATTTTGAAAAATAATGACAAGGACTGCTGCGAATTTATACATGCTGGTCATTCGATAAATTTGTGGTCGGCTCACATCAAACTTCTGTACAGCTTCCATGATCAGCGCACCATACGTACAAAGAGCGAAAAGGCAGAAACAAAAAGAATAATGTGCTCTTGCAAAAATCTGATACCCTATAATTCATTCCACTGTAGAGCATTGAAAATCTCTAGCCTGGAATCAATTAATTTTTTCTTTTTCAAGATAACACACACCTCTTTTTTTCCACTGCGGATTTGAGCTGTCAGGCTTACCACTGCCCAGTATGGGGCAGGTGATCAGTTTTGTGGAGGATGGCTGCAGACAACATCAGAGTCATAAGGTTAATCAATAAAAAATAAAACAAGATTCTCTATGCCAAGAGGTTTAACAAGGAAAGTTTTAAAACTTTATTTTATATCTATGTCGAAAGGTTTAATAAAGAACGTTAAAATTTCATTCCTTATCGACATCAAAGTGTTATGTAGAGAAAGTTAAAACACCATTCTTTACCTACGTCAAAGGATTCAACAAAAAAAAAGTTAAAACTGGTCTTCTAAACTAAATAAATCTAGAACTTGTAGAACAAGTGAATAGGAATAGGCCTTGAACTAGATCTAGACATGCGCATCCGATTCCAGACAGAAGGACTCAGCTAGATCTAGATCTAGATAATAGATTCTAAATAAATAAATAGATCTAGATCTAGATCTAATTCACGCACCTGATGAAATGCTTTTTACCAACATTAATATTACAGCACAACCTATGATAGGGTTTGACACAATAGAATTGGAATATGAATCCTCCATTGAGGTCTATAATGATCTATAAATCTAGATCTAGATTCTATTAGAACAGGTGAGTCGGACTTGTAATAAATCCACATGATCTGAACTATTAGTCAACAAACGAAATTCAAAATGGCCGCTCGAGCACGAAATGAAAGTAGATAATTTAGGTCCCCATCCTTTTTCGTATTCGCATTTCTACTCAGGTTCCGACAATTATGTCGGAAACGTCTACGTCGGCAGTCGGCACAAAAACAAAAGTGCCGACAAAGCCGACGTGAGAAAAATGGGGGCGCTGGCAGTCGGCCAGGCCTCGCACTACGCACATTGATTAAAACAGTTGGGCCTAGCGATAGCATTGGCCTGCTCACGGGTCGGGTCGCGATTGTCGGACTTCAGATGATTGTCGGCAAACATGCAGGTCTATTATGAGCCTTGTGAAGGCAAAGTGTTAAAAAAAACTATCACTTGACTTAGAAAACTACTCACTTTATCCACTGACTAGAATTATTTACCCACTTTCTGAAATAAAATGCTCATTTTCTTTTAGGATTTGTCATCGAAGGTATGAATTCTTATCAGAAACTTTTTTCTTAACTACAAAAGAAAACTGGTATTGAGGTTAATTCTGACGCCAAAGATAGTACAAGACAAGATGGGCCACTCAGCCTAAAAAGTGTCCGCAGGAAGTATGCTCTTTGTTTCAG